GGCTGATGGCTCAGAGCCTGGAGCCTGTTTCCGATTCTGTGTCTCCCTCTCTCTCTGCCCCTCCCCCGTTCATGCTCTGTCTCTCTCTGTCCCAAAAATAAATAAACGTTGAAAAAAAAAAATTTAAAAAGGGGCCCCAAATCCCTACCTCACGACTGGCGGTGAACGTAGCTATGGGGTCGAGCACCCACCCGGGGCATCACAGGCCTCCTTCAGTGATTGGTGACCACTGTTACTGTGGTCCACACCATTCTGAAAAGCAGAGCTTAATGATTTGTATTTCTTTATTTATTTTTCGTGTTTATTTTTGAGACGGGGCGGGGGAGGGAAGGAGACACAGGATCTGAACTCTGACAGTACAGAGGGCTGCATCAAAGTCGGACGCTTAACCGACTGAGCCACCCAGGCACCCCGGAAAAGCAGAGTTCGTATCCTCCATGTGCTCTGTGTCTCCAAAACAGTGGGAACCTTTCAGAAAATCGGAGGACGCATGTCACTCGGGAAAGTCTGGGAAGAAGAGTGGGGGGCCGGCCCCTCCGGGGCTCCCAGAATGGAAGGTGCTGCTGGAAATCTGAGACGCTGGGGAGCCGCCATTCGGGTGAACGAAGGTTCCCCAGGACCTCGTCCCCTCCCCACCATGCCTGTCCCCCAGCTGCTGCTCTGGCTCCAAGGGCTTCCACCGAGCTCCCCAGGACATCAAAGTGAGCCACGCATATCAAGGAGCCCCCCTCCCCCTCCATCGAGTGCAGGGGGCTGTAAACACTACAGAAAGCAGCCAAACGCATGCAGCACCCTGGCAGACGGCACCTGTTCCTTCCATGAACGGTTCCTGGGAGAGCCCATGCTTGGCTCGGCCACCACAAAAGAGGGGTATCCTCATCCTGTATGTGTGAAGCACCCCCATGGAAAACTCCCGAAGCAGGGGGAAGTTTCCAGCACCACACTCATTACCACCGGGTGTCTGGACTCTGGACTTGGTGCGTGCCCAGGGCCACCCACAAGGAAGGCGTGTGGGGCTTCCCTGAGCCCGAGTGTGATCGGGGGGCCGCTGGGGGCTGGGCACAAGAGCAGGCAGAGGAGCTGAAAAGGAATATCCAGGGCGCCAGAGGGCATCGTGGTGTGGGCACTGCGTGGGCCCGGGCTCAGTGGGTGCTGGGCCACAAGGGGGGGTTCATCAGTGAAAAGCCTGCCCAGGAGTCTTTATGCTGCTGAGAGCAAGGGGTTGAGGTGGGCGAGGGGGCAGAGAAGGGCCACAAAGCTCACCTGAGAAGGCCCTGGTGGAGCAGGAGGGGGCGTGGGCACTTGGTCCTGTGGCATGGGAGGCCCAGGAGGTTTCAGAGGGATGAGGCCATTAGTTTTTCAGGCCCCTGGGCAGCACGGCGATAAAACCTCCCAGGAGAGGGAGCACCATGTCCCCTCGTGGAAAATAATCCTAAATGCTCTGGGGAAGGAAATCGCCCTCTCGGCCCACAAAACTGGCTCTGCTATGTTTGAAGACTCTCCTATAGCTGTTAGATTTATACGGGTATAGCTGCTACCAGAGACATCCCAGCTACATAAACCGGCCTGGGTGAAAGAAAATCAAAACCAGTCCCCTCCTAGGGATGAGTGGGAAGGTGCCAGTGCAGAACCCACAGAGGTGAACAGCCTGGGGAGCCCTGCTTACTGCCACACCCCGGGATCTGTGCACACATCTGTTGGGCAGGCCTGGATCAGGGTGGGAGCATTACTCAGGAGGGGTGTTGGAAGCCCCTGACCTTTCTCAATACCCACTCCTCCCGCAAAGGTCTCTAAGTGTGGCTCCGGGGGTCGCAGCGGCTGGGAGTCAGGCAGACTTGGGTCTCCGTGGTCCTCGGACCATCCAGGCTGGGACCCCAACAAGACCTGAGCTTCAGCTGATAAAGGGGAATCACGGCCCCTCCACGCCCCAGACTGTCAGGGGACCTCCCCAGATAGTGAGAGGAGAGCATGAATGCCTAGCACAGAAGAAGCGGCCTCACCTCCCCAGGAAATAATAGGAAATACAGTCAATAACATTGTAATAATGTTTGGTGACCAATGGTGACAACACATACCGTGGTGAGCACTGAGTACTGTACAGAATGGCTAAATCACTGTACTGTGCGCCTGAAACTAATGTACAATCGTATGTGATTAAACTTCAAGTTTAAAAAATTCCATCACTTAGGGGTACCTGGGTGGCTCAGTCGGTTAAGCGTCCGACGTCGGCCCAGGTCGTGATCTTGCGGTTTGTGAGTT